ATATTTAATTTTCACTTTGATTTTATTCAGATTCTCACATGTACACCTTCCTATTTATTGTGACCTTATGCCTTATAATTATATATCTTAATCCTAAATTACATACTAAAGTAAGGGTCTGGTTTGCTAGTTCCTGGGGAAATTCATTGGGTGATAACAACACGGCAGCACCGTAGTCCGGGGCGGCCTAGGCGCCACTCGAACAAAAGGCCTAGCGTCGTATTTTCATGCCGTGGCCGTGGGTATACAAGATATTCTCTTTGAAGCATAGTTTCTGGATCACTTCCAACACTTCACATAAATCAGATACATTTATTCTTTTCCCAGATCATTGTTCTCATGTATTTTCATCTCGTACCTGCGGTAGCTATGTTCACTAATCGTTCACAGACGTAAATAGTATGACCTTCAAACACGATCTACCCTTATCCCTGTGTGATGGATCTCTAAACACCGCCTGTGGGAGGGCTGGAAGTGCTATTGTTGTGACTCAACCTGACGGTAGTATAATTGAGAAAGGAGTTAGAATTAACAACTGGGCATCCACTCTACAAACTGAATTAGTTGCCATACTCACAGCTATTAAATTCATTGAAACCACTGTTACTGACAGTCTCATCATCACTGACTCTATCCTCACTACTTGCCCTTGGTACCCTCGACTCAGGTTGTCACGCTCTTGTCTCTGAAGCCAGACACAAATATGCGTGCCTTGTTGACCAGGGTGTCAGGGTCAAACTGTTGTGGATCCCCTCTCACATAGGCCTCATAAAACATGACAGTTGATGCCCTCGCCAAACTCGCGTCTAACAAAGACACCGTTGAATACAATTTGGGTCTGTCAAAAAGAACCCTTAAAACTGTAATTAGGAAAGAACTTATTGATGAGTTTGACGCAAGTAGACAAATGCAAACAGGCACTAGTCGATCCATAGGTTACCATGATGAGATGTATCAAGTGAAACATGTATATGGAGCAAGTAACAAGATCACTAGATTACAAGATGTTGTAACCGCTAGATTAAGGTTAGGATATAAGTACCTTTGGCAGTATGTTCCTCAAGCAGATGTAAACAAAACTAAATGTAAAGTGTGTGGCCATACATATGGCCACACACTTGAACACTACGTCCTCGACTATGTGAAGATAGAACCTTTTAGGGACAGGTCCAGGCACACTGTGTGTGAAATGGCACAACACTTCATCTCTAATGGCAAGATAGCCGACATATTAAGATTGTATCCACTTTGTTGCACTTAGTAACTATATCAATTCTCATGTACAGAACCAAATACGCAATGTGCTTGAATACCTTGTAGTCGACTTCTCCCCTACAACTGCGTATCCGCATTCCTATGCTACCGTATCCTAGCAACCAAACGAGCGGCGTCACCAGATGTTACCACCTTCCCTAGCAACGAACCAAAGACCGGCGACTTTCTCGGGTTTTCCCAACATGACTCATAGAGGACCCACGGCTGCTGGGTATATAAGCTCTGTCTCTCCATTGAGATTCATTCTGACCATTCTTCTTGAACAAGCAACACCTCCTCCTCCGCCGCTGCCTGGCGGCCCTCGCTTCTCCTCCGCCTGCCAGGCGGTCCTCTCTCCCGCCAGCGAGCATGGCGACCCACCAGCTGTCCTTCTCTGAGCTTCCTCACCAACCAGCTTTCTCATTCTGGCCATTCTACTTGAACACGCAACACCTCCTCCAGCAAGCTCCACGCTGTCCAGCATTCATTCAACCAGGAGGCCAGTAACAGGCAACATCTTCTCTAACGAAGTTCCTGCACATCTACCTCCTTCAACATGCTACTCACCGAACGTCTCTACTGAGCAGCTCCCCACCACACGGCACCTCCAGCACCAGACTGTCTATCATATAACTTATATTATACAAGAAAACCACCTTAGAGTTTCCATCCATCCTGAGTGCTAGACAACATTATACCACGAATTCCTACAACCTCCCACGTAAATGTGAATAACAAAGTGTGAGGCCAGACATACTGCCTCACACGCCTGTTCTCACGCATTTGTGAATAAGTTACCCTTTACGTATAGAACTAAACAAATAATGTAAATGAAATACCGTGTAACTTTCAGTGCCATAATATCCTGACAACGGGGGTTAATTATTATGACCCTTTGTAAACCCTACTCTGTAATCCTTTTGCGCTACCGCTCACAGGATGAGTGTGGAGTGCACAATAAAGTAGCCGCTGCAAGCGGCAAAATAAAAAAAAATCAAAACCCTTATCCCTTATAGTACACTAGTCCGTATCAATTGAACCTTCCCAATCATCCTATAGATACCTTGAGTTCTCCTTGCTACTATGAGTACATACACTTAATATTATATGACCGTACCTTGGTACAATTCGTATAAAACATACATTATATGAGTTATCATCCTTTACCAACGTTTCCCGTTTTCTGAGACTACAAGCGCAGTGGATTTGAATGTTATGTAGCGTAATATGAATAAAAGAGTTGTAAAGGGTGACAATGATGTGCGCAGTACAACAGGTCTGCGCTCGACGGGATCGCATTTGGATCAGGGGAAAATAAGGACCTCATCCTCCGAATACGAGGGTTAAACATCAACACTTCAGGATGCAGGCCGTCCTGTGACATTCCTATGGATACCCAGTCATGTCGGTATCGTGGGGAATGAGGCAGCATATGGCCTGTAACAAGGCCACACCTGACTACATTGCTCCTCGAACACTTTTACAGCTTAGGACCCAAATTCGCTGCAAACAGAGAGAAGTTCGGGAAGCAGCCATCCCCCTGGACACCCCGCCCACCTGGTACGATGTCCTCCATAAACTAATTAACCTCTCGTATGTCTATGGGAAAGGGTCGCGGAAAAGGGACGTGATTGCTGCCCGTATCGCCATTGAATATGACTTTGCTTGGGAGATTGGTATCCCCACATCCCTTGAGCAACGCTCTTGTGCATTATGCAGAAGACCCAACAGTCGCACCCTTGTCCATTACCTCCTAAGATGTCCCCACACACAACGCATCCGTGACGCCTGCTGGACCACCACTCCGCGATCCCCTGACGGAGACACGATGATCCTCCCCATACTGGCCAGATATTATGTAAACAATACTGATGATGTGTTGAAGGAACATCCTTCCTTCCTTAGGCTTTACTAAGCCCCTTTATAATATTTATATATACTAGTGACACTTGCCAGATGCTTCTGGTGTTTTTATACAGGGGTACCTAGTGACAGCACTAGGATCTCGCTTCCTCTATCAAGGAATAAATATTTAAATATTGAAATTGAATTGAATTTGCTCTCGGTAACGTCTTCGCTCCTAGTAGACTCCGGCCCCCCTCCATTCTCAGAAGCTGCAGTATTTGCTAAGTACAGTACTGTATTTTGGGTGTGTAGTGGATTTCTCCCCTACAAACGCTGTTTGTCGCTGAGTAGCCGACCCCGCGAATTCCCCAGTGTATACCTCGTGGTCTAGGTCAACCAGCTCCGCCCACGGAGCGGAGGTCAACTATTAAGCCACGCCTACCTCCGCTATAAAAGACCTGACCTCGTGGTGACCACCCTCTTTTCTACCTACACCAACCAGCAAGCAACACCTCCTCCTCCTGCCTGGCGGCCCTCGCTCCCGCCGGCGAGCATGGCAACCCACAAGCTGTCCCCTCCTCTGAGCACCCTCACCAACCAGCTCTCTCTACATCACGCTTGTAACCATGCTGCCACTTCCCAGCACCAAGCTGCACTGTACATTCAATACAACATGTATACAGAGAGCACATTGTGAGTTTCCTTTCTCCATCCCATCCTGAGTGTGAACCCAAACAACGTGTTCCCCACAGGTGAACGGTAATAAAGTCACAGGGAAAAAAATCACAATTTTGGCTAGGAAAAAAAGTCACAGGAAAAAAGTCACATTTAAGATAAAACTAATAATATTTTAAAACAGTTATTACTGACAATACATGACTTTTACATATTGACAACACAATTTATATATGTGATGCACGTAGGTTGGGTTAGGTTAGGTTATGTTAAGTTGGGTTGGGTTAGGTGACCTTTTTTCTGTGACTTTGATGCAGGGGTTAGGTTAGGTGACTTTTTTACCTGGATTCGTAATTTGCAGAGTGTGGTTAGAAATGTCATTGTTTACATGGCGTATTCTGGTTTGAGCAGGTGTGTTGAATAAATTGATGTAGAATGAAAAACGAGGTGGTCTTTCTTTTTGCTTTATTCAACACAAAACATCTAATAGGATCTGCAACAAAAGAGAGAAAAATATTAATTAACAACAATCACAATGATCGTAATAGTAATCACAATTATGTCACACTGTATATGCTTCCCCCTTCTCTTAAGATGTCCTTCATAATAGATAAAATGTTAATTAATGACGAAAATAAGAAATGGGAAATTTCTGTTCCATTTGGGGAATTTTGCCTGTCAGATATGGAGAAATTTGAATCAGTGTCTGGTAACACTGAGCCAATGTTTACGGCGAAGCATCTGGTAACACTGAGCCAATGTTTACGGCGAAGCATCTGGTAACACTGAGCCAATGTTTACGGCGAGGCATCTGGTAACACTGAGCCAATGTTTACGGCGAGGCATCTGGTAACACTGAGCCAATGTTTACGGCGAAGCATCTGGTAACACTGAGCCAATGTTTACGGCGAAGCATCTGGTAACACTGAGCCAATGTTTACGGCGAAGCATCTGGTAACACTGAGCCAATGTTTACGGCGAAGCATCTGGTAACACTGAGCCAATGTTTACGGCGGGCATCTGGTAACACTGAGCCAATGTTTACGGCGAAGCATCTGGTAACACTGAGCCAATGTTTACGGCGAAGCATCTGGTAACACTGAGCCAATGTTTACGGCGAAGCATCTGGTAACACTGAGCCAATGTTTACGGTGAAGCATCTGGTAACACTGAGCCAATGTTTACGGCGAAGCATCTGGTAACACTGAGCCAATGTTTACGGCGGAGCATCTGGTAACACTGAGCCAATGTTTACGGCGAGGCATCTGGTAACACTGACTGCGCGTTACTTTCAAGTTTCAACAGTAAACGGTTGGTAGTGTTGCGGCAGTGACGGATTAACAAGTGAGTTATTAATCTGTAAGGTAGCGGTGTGTTGTGTTGTCAAAGTTAACATATGTTCACTCATTCAATATAATGGACATATTACTTTAGGGCAGTGTAGGCTTACAAACAAGTAAATGATTGAACTACCGTACGGTCTTGCGTTAACATCCAAATAGACTGGATATTAATTTGCCCCAGATAATGTTCATTCCTCGCCCTAGTCAGCCGTTTATTGTCCTGGTCATGAGTTTGTTAGTACACAAGAAAACTGCAGTATGTACATATGTTCTCTACTCGGGTAACAGTGCTCATTTGTTGCTCACAACTAACTAATACATTGCTCTACACTGTACAAGTTTATTTTGAAATTATTTTGATTTAAATTAAGAATTATCAGTGGATATTTTGCCGTGACCGGCTATGTTCCTATTAATGTTAGGTATTATTTTACTTTCGGACAAAACACCCCCGACAGTTATAAACTACTGAAACATTTAGATCTTGCTACTCTGGGCATTTTGAACCCCATATATATACATGACGGAAATAGATAATGGCGACACAATTGAATTGAATTGATTTTAAATAGTTTTCAGTCCATCTGTGAGGAGATGTTATCTGCGCATCACACATGGGCAATGTTGACTGATGTCATCCAGTCGTGACCAATGAGGTATCGCTATCATCACACAAATTTTTTTCGACCATTCACTTATGTTTTTTCTCAAAGGAAGCATCCTGGGTATGATTTTAATTTCATTGACCAGTTTCACAATGGCCGTGTGGAGGTTGGTTGTCGTTTGTGTTCCTACGATTATTTTAAGTTTATCGTTGAGTTTTACAAGAAAGACGATTATTCTATCCAATTATTACGTATCGCTGGTCCTTCCACTTCTAACTAATGTATTGTACTTTCGGACATGGCACGCCCCAAATATGGTATTATTGCATTTCCGCACACAACATGCCTACCCCTAATCTATTATCATATTCGAATAAGACGTCTAATTATAAGATAATTTTCTTCTATTACATTACCGTTACAAATGTATAATAACGGAGGTAGCGTATCCAAAATTTTACCTATTTTCTTCCATTAATCTTACGCCATTATCGCCTACCTTACCTCCCACACTGCGTATCTCCTTAATAAATCATCACGTGCATGTGTTCCCGTACATGTCACGCGGCCAATCAAAAGCGTGTTTTTCGTCTTTTTTTGCTACCAATTAAAATTATTTGTGGTTTAATTTGCAGTATTTTTGGCCCAATCAAATTTGATTTTTATTTTGGGGTCATATTTCAAAATTCAAATTCATTTCCGACCATGGAAGTCTGCGATGGGTGTCACTTCAATTATATGGAGCTGATTGCATTTATTCGATCTCGTGGTGTTCTCCCGACCTTGGTAAAGTGTCCTAAGTGCAAGCTGCTGCCCGCCTATACGTTAAGCAAGAATCAGCGTGAGCAACCTGTACTAATCTCAGAATCCAACGACGAACCAGAACCAGGCCAATATGGTAAGAAATAAGTGATTTCATCATATGGTGAGAGTCAGTGAGGTTAGGTCAGGTTTTTGTTTATCTAGTGTTTTTTTGTGTATTTTGCATTCACTTAAGTCATAATTTTTGTTGGAAAACGCCCCACCCAAAAAAATAAAAATAAAAAAAAATAAAAAAAATAAAAAACCTTGCCAATTTCTGACGGAAATGAAGGTCATAACCGATCTAAACACACAAATACACTAGAAAAATATTTTTATTACTTTCTAACAGAGCTGTGTGCACTTCAAATTTACCCCAAAGATTTTAACTACTGATACATTTAGTTTAGTTTAAGCTAGGCCTACCGGGGGTCTGCCCTCGGCTAGAGGGTCAGGTCTGCCGGAGGTCTGGGGGCAGGGCCCCCGGCTAGGAGTTAAGTCAGTTAGGTTTGGTTTTGTTAAACCAGATGACTCGTTTTAGTTTTTTCCCCCACCCAAAAACCCCGATTTCCCAGGCTCTCCCCCCATTATTGTTAGAGGGGAGGGGGGGCAAAACTAGCAATTTCTGCCAAAAATGAAGGTCAGATTCGTTTAAAACACACCAAACTACACTGGAAAAACATATTGGTCAACCTCTCGGGACTCATGTCCTTAAGTAATAAATTACCTAATGCTATTTTACCGTGAGTGCGCTCTGATGGCTAATCGTCCATTACTGGCATACAAAATGGCAAAATATCCACTGCGTTAATTTTTTTCTCGAGATGTTTGGATGATAGGAAAATAGAAATGACAATGCATAGGTTATGTAGGTGAGGTTTGGTTAGGTTCTAATAGGTTCTGTGCATTGTTTTGATTTGATTGGCCAATTAGAGCTCACTCACGGAAAAATAGCGTTAGCAGGAACTTACAGTAGGTAGTAGGCAGCTATCAAACAGGGTGGTACTACCGCCTGGGAAGATATTGTTAGCATAATGTATTGTATAATGGTAGACCCTGCTGCCATATGGCATCACAAAAATTGTGACCAAGTCCCAGGTTGCTGATCTGACTTTCCGCCTCATTTACACACAATTGCAGGGTCTCAATTGTTTCTCTTACTTTAACAACACAACATACATATATTGTTTCTCACTCTTGATATTTTTTTTTTCATTTTTGTATTCCTCTATGGTTCTTTATTATAATTATTATTATTATTATCATTATTTTATTTAAGTTTTTTAGTTTTTAATAATTTTTTTATTTCTTATGGATTATTATTACTATTATTATTATTACTACTAATATTATTATCATTACTATTATTATATAATATTTTTATTATTATTATATATATATATATATATATATATATATATATATATATATATATATATATATATATATATATATATATATATATATATATATATATATATATATATAAATTTTTTTTCTCACTATTAATCTTTTTTTCAATTTTTGTATTTCTTTATGGATCTTTGTTATTATTATTATTATTATTATCATCAGTGTTGTTATTATTATTTTATTTCTTTTATTTTTTATTTTTTACTATAAATTTTATTTACTATGAACTAATTATTGTTATTATTATTATTATTATTATTATTATTATTATTATTATTATTATTATTATTGTTATTTTATTTTTATTTTATTTTTTATTTTTTACTGTAAATTTTATTTACTATGAACTAATTATTATTATTATTATTATTATTATTATTATTATTATTATTATTATTATTATTATTATTATTGTTAAATTTTCGCCCCCCGGGCCCCAGTGTGGGTCAGTGACCTGTGCCCGTGTAGGCTAATCCCCGTAAACATAAAAAGAAAAAAAATAAAGTAGTTCACACAACATTCCTACCCCTTATCTTTTATCTTATTCGAAAAAGACGTCTAATTTTAAGATAATTTTCTTCTATTACATTACCGGAGATAGCGCATGACAAATCGTTCTCCGATTCCATTAATCTTCAGCCATTATCACCTACCCGACCCCCAATGGGCGTGTTCCCTTCATAAATCATCATGCGGATGCGTTCCTGTAAACGTCACGCGGCCAATCAAAAGCGTTCTTTATTTTTGCCGCCAATCTAAATGAATTGTGGTTTCTTCTTTTAGAATTCACGGTATTTTTTGCCCAATCAGATTCGATTGTGATTTTGGGTCTCTCATGCTTCGAAATTCAAATTCATTTCCAACCATGGAAGTCTGTGATGGGTGCCACTACAATTACAGTGGGGTATGCTATAACGAATCTAATTGGTTCTAGAACCTTGTTCGTTATAGCATTCGTTCGTTATAGGATTAATCCGTCCCAGGCCCCCAAATACAACTACTTAACACTGAAAAATTTCTGTGGAAATTTTAAAAAATACAATACTTTATCTTACCTTAGTGTTGTTCAGCATGCAGGACAGGGGGCAGAGGGGGAGGGGGGAGGAGAGAATTTTGGAGAAGAGGTGGAAGGAGAGGAGTCATCCTTCCTAGCCCTCTTTGGTGACTGTCTTACAGGCACTTTGTCTGTAGGGTCTTTTGATATTTTTTCAAAGAAGGAATCCAGGGTTGGCTGCTTCAACCTTGATTTCTGGACCTTCCAAAAGTAGTTCATCACAGTGTCATTAAAAATACTGAGGCCCTTTTCAACAGAAGCAACATCAGGATGATAATCCTCCACAATTTTACCCACTTTGTTCCAGCTGGAGAACAATTCCGTGAGAACTTTGGCAGGAATGACGTGGCTTTCCTCCTTGTCCTCATCCTCCCCTGACCCCTCAGAAGTTAAGCTCTGCTTCAGTGTCTCGTTTTCTTCTTTGTGAAGCTCAAGCAGCTCCTCAGTGGACAGCTCCTTACTGTGCTCATCCACCAACTCCTCAACATCATCATCATCCACTTCCAGGCCCATGGAATTGCTCAGGCACACAACTTCATGTACAACAGCCTCTTCCTCTTAACTCTTCAAAGCCTTCAAAGTCTCTTTGAAGGACACATTCAGGCCACAATGGCCTCCAAGCAGCACATAGACACCTCATAGAAACCTCTTTCCAGGCTGACACAATTATAAACACAGCATCTGCTATATTAAAGTGACTTCCAAAATTCCTTCAAACTAACATCACTGGAAGAAGTGGCTGCAAAACATTTTCTAAACAGTGCCTTTGTGTACAGCATCTTAAAGTTTGAAATTATCCGTTGATCCATGGGCTGGATGAGAGGTGTTGTGTTGGGTGGCAAGAAGTGCACAGTGATGAAGTTGAACTCCTCTGGCAATTCAACCATCAAATTAGGAGGGTGGGCTGGTGCATTGTCCATCACCAATAAAGTTTCAAATCATTCTCCCTGAGGTATTCCCGAACACTGGGTCCAAACACCTCAGTCACCCACTCAGAGAAAAGACTCCTGGTCACCCAAGCCTTTGGGTTTGACCGCCACATAACACCAAGGCGGTTCTTCCTAATGTTTTTGAAAGCTCTTGGGTTTTCTGCATGGTACACAAGGAGTGGTTTTATCTTGCAGTCAC